GAAAGGGAAACAAATATGTATCTGAAAGTGAAGCCTTCTTCAGAATTATTATATAAAAAAATGGAAGAAGGCTTCATCTTTCTAGATATGTGTACAGCTACGGTATAGTCTTCACATAAGACTTATTCGCTCAATGTTGGTCAACACTATTCTATAATTTCGGCCAAAACTTTAGGCGTAATAACTCAGCATTCAAGCTGGCATATAAGTGGACTGAAACTGGCAAATAAATGGAACCTCTCAGGCATCCAGCCAGTTCCCTACTAGTTTCTCAACAGTTCCATGATGATTTCATAACACCATCATGGCGCTATCGTATTGCCAAGCTGGATTCTCAAATCATGTACTCTAAAGATCAGCCAGAATTATGACATAATGTCAGCTGAAATTAATCACAAATCTACCGCACCACCTGACATGATTTTTTTTACCACAATTTGGTATTTTAAAAGGCAGCCAAATAGGCGTAAAAAGAAGCATTCTCGATATATTAACAGGCTACCAAACAGGCACAGAAGTAGGTAAACAAATGGATAGCTCTTTAGGAGTAAAAGGAATACAGAGTAATGTAAACATATGAATAGTTCCTTGATAAAAGAAAGACCGTAGATAAGCGGAAAAATACACTCTATCAGATTGTGTCATCACCATTAGATTATATAATAACAACACTAATAGATCATATTACCACCAGCCTACCATAGTGCTATATAGCAGGAATTAATTAAAATAGTAGTTAGAAAACCATAAAGATGACCAAGCTATAGGTTATGAAGCCACATGTAGATTATGTCGCCATATTAGATTATGATATCAGGTTATGACACCACTATTAGACTGTGATATTAGATCATACCACCACTATTAGATTATATCATCACCAATAGATTATATCACCACCATTAGATTATATAATCATCATCATAACCATTAGATTATATCACCACCATTAGATTATATCGTCACCATTAGACTATGACGATGATGACATAATCTAACTTAAGTCGCCAGAGGTTATTTGATATAATTATATCAAATAACCTCTGGCGACTAAGGTTTTTAACAGATATTTTTTTAGTTCTAAAACCCTTATATAAATATGAAACATGATATCTGAAACAAAAGTATTAACTTTATTATCAAATATGAAATGAAATATCAAATTATCTGCCTGATTATATCACTACATTTAGAATTTGGAATGACTATTCCATTTGTGTTAAGATTCTAAAACCTTTTCTATCTCAAATTCTGTGAGTGATAAAAAACATATTATTATAAATTTCGGCTAGATGGGAATCTATTATTTCCATTTGTAATAGGGAGGTGTATTTAGTATCATCATTCATGTGATTGAATTTAACCTTTTCAGCTTTGTTAAAAACAACTGCTTTTTTAGAATGAGAGTTAAGATGTTTTTGCATAATTCAATTAACATGTATTGGTTTTTGAAAATCACACAAAAGCTGAACTGATCTTTCAAAATAAATTTTGTATTCATTTTATTATAGCATTTCTATTTAAGTTTACACTATAAATTAGGTAAAAAAATTATTATAAAATATTTTTTAAGATTCAACCTTTAAAACAAATATAATGCATTTTGTTAACTACTGTAATTTGTATTTTAAGGCTGTTCTCATGATCATTTAAATCAAAAAAACTGGAGTTACAAACCAACTTTTTTTTTTAATAGAATTGTACCGATTAGCTAAAATTTATCATTGATGGAGTATAAAAAGAGATTGCTCACATTTTTCACTTCCATTTTATCTTTACACTAATTATCCATATAATTATAAAAGAATAATTATTTACCTGATGTCTTGCTATTTCATTTAAAGGATCTGTTATAAGTTATATAGTAGAATATTGTTGTTGTTGTTGTAATGATACATTATTTGTTAGGTTGGAAGTAAGAGAGTGAAAGAATGATCAAGCATTGATCGCCAATTGATTAAGCGTCATTGAAGGAGGTGCTTGAGAACGGCATAAATCGAATAAGATTCCAGATACCCCTCCGACTAAAATTATACAAAAAGGAATGATCTACATGATTGGATTTGGTTTTTTAAAAGTAATTTATTTTTCAATACTAATAATTTATCACGTGAGATTTTCGGCTAAATCTTTGGCGGCTGAGTGGGAATAAATTCCCGAAATTATTCTAGAAACCACTTGAAAATTTATCAGGAATGATGTAAATGATGTAGAAATGTGTTGAAATTTCGGCATCATATTATTTTCTATGGTAGGGTGAGAAATTTTCAGAACTTTTTTTAAAAGATTCAATCATCAAAAAAAATACCAGCACATGCGAGAATTCTCTCAATGTCCATTTGCGAATGTATAAATAGGTGTTGAATTTTATCCAACTTTTTCTTCAAAATCAAACAAAACAAAAAAAAATACCAAATACTTTTCTACAACATTACTTAATTTAAAATGACAACAATCACCAATTACGGCTGGGATGCTCCCCTTACTACTCGTATCTTTGATGATTTCGTCAAAGAATGGCCCAGACGAATTAATAATCGTGTGAATACGTGGGCTCCTGCAATGGACGTTCACGAAAATGATAAAGAATTCCTTGTTAAAGCCGAATTACCGGTATTTTATTTATTTTTATTTTTATTTTTAATTTTTAATTTTTAATTTATTATTTTTTTTTTTCGTTTCATTAAAAATCAACAATCATTATTTCGTAGGGAATTAAAAAGGAAGAAATACATGTTGATATTCGTGACAACGCACTAGTAATTTCTGGTGAAACCAAACAAGAGCAGAAGTTTAAAGAAGGAAATACTCATGTTCAAGAACGTCGTTATGGTTCCTTTTCGCGTTCGATCTCACTTCCACCGAATGTTAAACACGATGATATTTCAGCCAAGTTTGAAAACGGTCTTCTTGAATTGACCCTTCCAAAGGCAGCTCCTACTGGCAAGAAAATCACTATCGCATAAAAAAAGTGTTGATTTTTTATTTTTATTTTCATTATTTTATTACATGTTAATACCTTTTCAATAAAGAAATCAATTAATATTTTTTTTTATGTGTGGATAATAAAATAAATTATTTCAATAAAGGCTTTTATTACATTGATAAAATTTACTGTAACGGTAACGCAGTCACGAAATTTATAAATAAAATCTATTTGCGGAGCGCAAGAAAAAATCTCATGCAATGAAATCCAATTTGCGCAAGGATATGTTAATATTTTATAATAACAGATAATAAATCAAATAATTTGCGGAAATCAAAAGTAAGTTGCGCATTGCGCAATAAGCATTTGACTTGAATTTTATTCACTGCTCATGATACATTAAATAGCAGCGATGTAATCTATGATCATCATAAAGTATGATTTTAATCTAACCATCTCAAAAATCAAAAAAAAAAATAAAGTACTTTCATAACAAATCTATTAATTTTTTTAAATCTATAAAAATTATTACAATTTAAAATGCCTTTCGTTAACAAATATCCTCGTGCTAAACAATTCGGCGCCAAACAAATGAATTTTTTGACAATTTATGATGAATACATTATATGATGGATCTGTACACACCGCATACTTTTCCCTTATAAATTGATAATTTACGCGAGGTAAAATCTTTTTAGTAAAAAAAATAAAATTCTTTTACTTCAGACGTTTAACCAAATGGAATCAAGTAAGTGAATAATATCTTACCTTTAAGTCCACGCTCACGTCCACGTTGCTCTCTATTAGCCCTTCATAACAGCCATAGAAACGAACATTCATGGTTCACATTTTACGTTCACGCTCATTGAGTTCACGTTCACGTTTCATATTCTTACACTTACATTTTCATTCCTCTAGATCGAAAAAACAGATTATTTGTCATATGGGAGCGTTTCAAGTAAAATCACATTACGGATCATATGTTTTACTATGCCTCATGACTTGATTTTAAAGTGCGAGAACGAAACTTATGGACATATACATTTCAATACATTTCAAGACTGAGAATAACGCAGGGTTATTTTATCAACGTGTCCAAGGGAAAACCTTTAAATTCGATTGCGATGATAATCTTGGTGAAACCAAGACAATTTTAATCGAGTTTTCTCCGTCGGAAAAAATCCGGAAGCGACAATTATACTATATATAAGATTAAGGTAACATACAGTACTATTAAATTTTTATTGGTGTGATTTACATTTTCATCATTTTTTTTATCTTATTCTAGAATGATAAATCTAGAACAACCGACATTTCAACCGACACCCCAACCGACACATCTCAACAAGTGACATCTCAACCGGCACCTCAACAAGTGACATCATCTCAAACATCATAGACGACGAGCTGCAGCTTGATTATAAAATAACTACTTGTACCTTCGTCCTTATGCTAGTATATTATCATCACATGATGGATCAAAACCACCTAGGTATCAACCATTCAAGATATAAAATATAATATAATAAATCTGTATTTTATTTTTTATCCATTGTCAAAGGAAATGAAAAAAAAATAGAGGAACTGATGGAGTTTAAAACTTTGAAAGTTTAAAAGGATATTGTTCGGTTATTTAAAAAGTAAAAAAAAAACACATTTTGGTTGAACTTAAATAAATTAATTAACAATTTGTTTGTGAAATTTACAATTTTTAAATAAATTGTCTTTTGCTTTTTTAGAAATATTTATTGCAGGATCTAATTCTAAAAATCCAGGTTCATTCATTAAAGAAAGCCCAGCAATACCTAAATATGTATGCATGACATCTTTATTAAAAAGCGAATTAAAAAGAAATACAAATTATTAATATCATTTTAATAGTAAATCATAATAAATAACGAGATGATTATAAATGAACATAAATTCTACCTGGATAAAGATCAACCCATTTCGAAAATCCTCCAAATGTAGATTGAGTTTGCATCAAAAAATTATGATTTTGTTCATAATCAATTAATTCAAATTTATTCAAAATCTAAAATGTTTTAATATTTCGTGGTAATAAATAAATCTCAAAAAAAAAAAAATTTAAAGTAATGTAAACCAAATATACCTTTAAAGCTGCACCTATCCAAAAAGAATAACAGGTATCAGGCGGTTTATTAGCTCTACCTTGAAAACCAGTTTCTTGACGAGAAAACAACCAAAATAACGTTTGTTCTTTTGATAATAGTCCTATATCTAATTTATTTAACATATATAGTGAACTTATAGCACAATATGTTGAGCCACCATGTGATTCTTCTCCCGGTCCTTGTCCAATTCCATAATCATATGACTTGATTCAAAAGAAAAGATGTTAACGTTTATATGAACATAAATTAAAATTGTAAAAATTTTACATTTAATAATACCTGACTATTTTTTATATATTCTATAGCTTTCTCAACATCAATTCCACTGAAATCATTCAAAATATATGATATAACAACTGCACAATATAAAAATCTCATATCAGATTCCATACCCTGATATATATGTGTGAAACTATCGAATAATTTTTGATTAGTTTACCAATTATATTGAATGAGCGATGTATTTTTTTTACCTTCCATCGTCTTTTTGTAAATATTTTAAAGAATTGATTATAGAACAACGATTTACACGTGATAAATCATCCCCTAAAATCAATAAACTAGTTAAAGCAGTATAAGTCATTGCTGAATTTGCGGCATCAAAAGGCAATTGTGATTCACGAGACTTTTTAATGAATGAATAAAGTTTTTAATATTTTAAGATTAATTGAAAATTTTTCTTTCGAGAAAAATAGTATTACTTACCCCATTTACATCGAATGGTAAGCCAGAAAATGGTGAACCTCTAAAGCCACAAATTTTTTCATTAATCTCTAAAAGTGACAATAATAATATAATGTTAATATAATTTAATATTGTGAAACAAAAATAACTAATAAACTTATAAGAAATGTATACCAGGATTCTTTTCATTAGGTAAGATCTGTTGTGCATATATCCAATCAATCCAAGTTTTCCTTCTTTCTTTTGGAATTTCCTCTTCAAGTACACCCAATAGGTCCAAACCAGAAAGACAAAAAAAAGCTAATGTCATTCTATATTAATATTATTTTTTGTTTTGTTTTTTTTTTTAAAAAAAAAATAAAAAGAAAATATATTTTACGCGCGATAATTTTGACTAAATATTATATTGTATCGAAATTCATACCTGTTCGTATCATTACTTACATACTGTCGTGAAAGTAAAGTTAAACCACGCTTTAAATATGTAATATGTTTAGAACGGTCAAACTCTTTTTTAGTAGTGTCAATCATTTTATTTTTTTGAAAATCTGAAAATCATTATATTTATATAATTGATAATTGCAAATCATGTGAGTTCTCTGAGAATCTGAGAAGTTATTTGAAATTCTCGTGCTTGCCGGATCAATTTTTTATTGGATAAATATTTGTGATCTTTGTTAAAATTTTTTTTTTCGTAAAGCATCTTTGAGGTATAAAACTTTTGAAATGGTAAAATCATATCTTCGTTATGAACCTTATAAAACGTTCGGTGTTATAGCTAGTGCGTCATCGAACGTTGTGCTTTCTGGAGACGGTAAACTTGCTATTTCTCCGGCATTAGAAGATGTTACTCTTTGGGATTTGAAAAAGGGTATTCTGGTGTGTTGCTGAACTAACATTTATGCTATTATTCGGTTATAATGAATATCGCTTAATTAATTTGTTTGTTATAATAGGTTGGAAAATGGCATGATATCGATAACAAGTCAGAGGTTACGGTGATAGCAAAAAGTCCAAATAAAGTTGATTATGCCGTCGGGTTGATTATTCATTTTAATGAGATTGTATTTAATTCAGGATAACTATAAATTCTAATGCAGTTACAATTGTATAGATATGCAGATGGATCAATTCGAATTTGGGATATTGAGAAATCATCGTATTCAGTTATATTTAACGGTCATCGAGGAGCAGTGACTGCGTTAACATTTGATAAGACTGGAACAACATTAGCTTCAGGATCAAAAGATACTGACCTTATTATATGGGATATAGTTGGAGAAGTTGGTCTTTATAGGTAAACAAGATAATAGATGATGGACTTTGAAGTTTACAAAGAAGCCGTCTGACTTCATTCTTTTTTGATAGGATGCGTGGCCATAAAGATCAAATCACTTCAATCCGGTTTCTTTCAAAACCTTCATTGGGGAGTCACGATACAATTTCTTCATTCGGATATATCCTATCTTCATCAAAAGACACACTTCTAAAATTATGGGATTTAACTACCCAACATTGTATAGAAACAGTTGTGGCTCATCGTAGCGAAATATGGGATTTTGATATATCGAAAGATGAAAAAATGTTGGTGACCGGTAGTGATGATACTGAATTCAAAGTATGGACCGTAGATCATGAAGTTCTAGCTAAAGGACTAGAAATTGACGATTCAATGAAAGAAGAAGAAAATGAGGAAAAGGAGGTTTGTATTTTAATTAAGTGAAGGTTGGATTTATGATCTAAATTATTTAATTAATTATAGGCCAAGAAAGCGATTCAATTTTTTGGAAATGTTAAAAGACAAGGAAAAAATCGAGTTATTACGATAAAATTTCATTCAAATGGTAGTTTATTAGGCGTTCAGGGACCTGAAAAATCTGTAGAAATTTATCGTATTCGTACACATGAAGAAATTAAAAAGAAATTGACCCGTAGAAAAAAGCGTCAAAAGGAAAAGCAACAAAAGGTTGAATCTAAAAACCAAGATGAGAATGATGTTATGGAAGTTGATGGTGAAGAACGTCCTCTTTGTGCAGAAGATTTAATAACCCCGTATCAAGTTATTCGAACGGGAGGAAAAATACGATCTTTTGATTTTTCAGCAACTGAAAATAATCGTAAAGTTAGTTCGATACAGGTAAAAATTTTCTTGTGTTATATTATTAGCAATCACTTTGATGTTGTATTCAAACTATTAACATATTTTAAACTAGATACTCACTTCCTTGACGAATAATACGCTAGAAACATACACTTTAGACCTTCCAAATAAAATGAATAAAGATGTCGCGGTATTATCAAAATTATATACCGTCGAACTTCCAGGTCATCGCAGCGATATTAGAACTTTAGCTCTAAGTTCTGATGATAATTTATTATGTTCAGCATCCAAAGGTGAATAAAATTAAGATCGAATTCATAGCATCAAATCCTTTACTAACTTCACCTTTTAGATTCGCTCAAGATTTGGAATATACAGACAACTTCTTGCATTCAAACGATGGCATGTGGATATGCGCTATGTAGCGCGTTTCTACAAGGAAATCAATATGTAATAAATATATATATATAATTTATATATTTGAAACTTATTATTCTAACATATTAAATTTTTCGACTTTAATAGGTCATTATTGGTACTAAATCTGGTCACCTTGAATTATATGACATAGCCTCGGCGTCTTTAATAGAGTCAATTGAAGCACATGAGAGGGCTATATGGTCTCTACAAGTTAGGCCAGACAAGAAAGGATTAGTGACAGGAGGTGCTGATGCAAATGTCAAATTTTGGGATTTTGACATGGTGGAAGGAGATTCCCATGGAGATGATGGGGTATATTTTTTACGATCTTTACATTTGATTTTAATTCGATCCTTTTGACTTGAATTAATCATATTACTTTAGGTTGTACCCAAACGTTTAACTCTGATTCATTCTCGTACACTGAAAATGACCGATGATGTGTTATCCGTCCGTTATAGTCCAAATCAAAGGTTAATTGCTGTTGCATTGCTAGACGCAACCGTAAAAGTATTTTATAATGACACGTTGAAATTCTTTTTGTCATTATATGGTCATAAGGTATGTTTTATTATTTATTAGTTAATAATATATTCCAATTACCTATTTAACAAAATATTTTAATTATAGTTACCTGTATTGTCAATGGACATTTCTTCGGATAATAAACTATTAGTTACAGGCTCAGCCGATAAAAATATTAAGATATGGGGTCTCGATTTTGGTGATTGTCACAAATCGATATTTGCTCATCAAGACAGTATCATGTTTGTACAATTTGTTTCAGACACACATTATATTTTTACATCTAGCAAAGATAAATTGGTTAAATATTGGGATGGTGACAAGGTATGTAACTAGAATATCTTATTAACGTAATGTCACAATCATTTTAACATGTTTCGATCTTAGTTCGAGAATATAATGAAACTTGAAGGACATCATGGAGAAGTATGGTCTTTGGCAATTGGCAAGCGCGGGGACTTGCTAGTTTCCGGGTCTCATGATAGGTCAATTAGGGTTTGGGAACAAACTGATGAACCGGTACATTTAATAATACTCGTTACATCTTGTGAAATTTATGAAATCGTTCTTAGTTAATTCTAAGTCATGATCTTATCTAGCTGTTTCTAGAAGAAGAACGCGAAAAAGAATTGGATGAATTATACGAGTCCACTTTAACTACCTCATTGGAAAAAACTAGCCTTCAAGATAATACTATAGAAGTGTCATCAGCTGGTAAACAAACTATGGAAACTCTAAAAGCCGGTGAAAGAATAATGGAAGCATTGGATATCGCCGATGAAAACGCCGCTGCATGGGAAACATATAATCAGGTAATTTTTATTGACTCTTGGAATTATAAATATTTATATTTTATAATAAAATTTTTTTTTGAATTTTATTTCTCATATTAGTTTAAAGAACAAGGTAGAAATCATGGACCACCACCAAAGCCAAACCCTATTTTGGTAGCTCTGGGAAATCTTACCGGAGATCAATATGTATTGAGAATTGTTGAAAAAGTGAGATCGACCGAATTAGAAGAAGCTTTATTGGTTTTACCGTTCACCAAGGTTATTTCGTTATTACAATACCTAGACATATGGGCTAAGAAAGTATTTATTTATTTATTTATGTTTATATGTGCTATCGAAAACTTAATATTAACGTCTCTCTATAAATTAGGAAATAAATATTACATTAACATGTCGAATATTATTTTATCTTCTTAAAGTTCATCATGATCAAATCGTAGCGAACCGACTTATGAGACCTAGATTGGATTCTCTAAGAACACATATAAGAATTGTCTTAAAACGTCAAAAGGTGCATAATTTTCTTTATACAGTAATTTGAGTTTAATGTAATTAATTTGAATTAATCTCTTCTCATGTATTTTAGGATTTACTTGGATATAATTTAGCGGCGTTAAAATATATCAAACGTGATTGGGAAATTAATAGTACCACAGAGTTTTTCGATCCAACATCGGATAACGAAGAAATAGTTGATGAATCTTCAAAAAAGAGGAAATTCATCACTGTTACTTCTTAAATTCAATAATAAACTTTTAAAAGTAATTTATTAATTATAATAAATACACATTTCTTAAATTTCTATTATTTTTATAATAAGAACTTGGTTGTAATTAGTGATTTATCTTAATCCCGCTGAAAGTAAAATAGGATTTTTCAATAGGTTTTTCCATACCTCGGAAAATCTAGCTACAGTAGCTCCGTCTATCACACGATGGTCTGCGCAAAAACTCATGGGTGCTACATGCTTTCCAACTATTTTTTCAATCACTTGTCCAGTTACTTCATCCTTAACATTTTCAAAGCGTGGTAACTTTTGAATCTTACCAATTGCTGCAATACAAACTTCTGAAGAAACGACAACGGGAGAAAGAATTGTTCCTCCAATTATTCCAATATTAGATAAAGTTATAGTTCCTTCCTGTAAATCATTTGGGGAAATCGCATTCTTACTCCCTGCTTCTTTTAATCTTTGCAAATCACTCGCAATCTCAAAAATGGATTTTGCCTGCACATTTTTTAAATTTGGCACAAGAAGTCCTCCAGGTGTATCCATTGCAATACCAATATTATGTGATCTACGATACTTTAGTTTTGTTGTGTTTACATCATCTCCATTAATAATACAAGCATTAAGGATTGGAAATTGTTGTAATGCAACAGAAAATGATTTAATGAAAATTGGCATTAGAGATATTTTGTTGAAAGAAAATTGATTCTTTTTAGAAACATAATCATTAAGTGAATGGTGAAAAGCAAAGATATTGTCCAATAAATATTCATCCGAATATCCAAAGTGTGGAATTTTCAATGAACGTGTCATTGTTTTAAACATAGATTTTTGAATATTTGACAATGGCACGAGTTTATCCTCGGCAAATCCAATATCAGGAGCTAATTTCACAATTAAGTTATGAAAAAAAAATATGTTAAATAGATTCATGTATCATACATATATCACGTAATAAAAGAATTTTTTTAAAAAAAATAATACATAATTACTCTCTTTCAATATAAGTTGGGCATCCTTTCCCGGAATTATGTGATTTAAAACGTCTTCCTTTGTAACACGACCACTCTTTCCAGTTCCTTTAATACTACCAATATCAATGTTATGTTCTCGTGCAATACGCCTAACTGCTGGAGTTGCCAAAGATAAAACTTTGTCTCCAGTTGTCAAAAATTCTGATGATCCTTGAGCTTGCTCTGGTGGAGATGATGGTGAAGCTTCTAAGTTGCTTTCATCCGAATTTGGTATGCTCTCCTCAATTATTGAACTAACAGTTTCTATGTCAACGATTGGGTTTCCAACTTTTGCCATTTCACCGACTTTATAATGTAATTTCTTAACAGTACCTGTAAAACGTGATGTGATTTCTACTGAAGCTTTATCTGATTGAACTTCGCAAATTTTATCAAATTCAACAATTTGATCACCTGGATGAATGAACCTATAGAGGAGGGAAAAAAGATCAATAAAGAATTGTAAATATTTATTTCCTTTATGGTCATACCAACCATTGAACTATTTCACATTCCGTAATACCTTCACCAATGTCCGCTAATAAAAAGGGATGAACTGCGTTATTTGGACATGAATAGTGAAAGTCACGAACGTAATAAAGTGAATTGGATTTTTTAATATATGCATAGGAAGATATCCTTGGTTTTACGGATGAGGAAGACAAATTGGACTAAATATTGTTTTTTAATAAAAAAAAAAAAAAGGTAAAAATGAGTAGAAGAAAAAAGAAAAGGTGGTATCATTTAAATAACTTACTTTTATGAAAATCGTATGATACTTTATCCTATTGTAGTTAATTAACCAATTTGGATAGTATTGGAGTTCCCGGACGATCTACTGAATTCAAACAATTTGAATTAAAATAAACTTTTCCATATGAAAAGTCGTCAACGCTCAATTTCATTCTAGTTAAAATTAGTTATCTCGCGAGTAGATCTGAGACTCGTAGAAAAATGTGAAAACACACCCTAAACCTATGAAAGCTTCTTAAAATCATGAGGGGAACATTCATTCTATTTATATCAAAGAAGTTATTGTTTGAACGAAGTCTTTATTATATATTTATATAAAGGTCGGGTATCACAAATATATATCCGGATATTGCTACTCGTTATACTACTGCACGATAATAAAGCATCATTATCGAATTGCATAGAGAGTAAAAGTATAAAAGTTGTCGAAACTTGTTAAAGTACGTATTTATTATTTCTCCTTTTTTATATTTTTTTTTTCCTTTTTTTAAACGATATCAATTGATGTCTTCACTCTCTTTATTTTTTGTTCCTAGAAATAGAAAAATACATTTTGAAATAGATATTCTTATACAAGAATTAATAAATGTACCGTTGGTAGCTGGGTCCTATTATATCAAATGGAAATTAAAAAACGGAGAAAGAACGAATAATATGACTGAACGGTATTTAAATATATGCTAGATTAAACTCACTTTGTTAAACAATAGAATTTCGTCCTATAATAAATTCTACAATATCCAACAATAATAGGGCTCCAATTAAGCATCGTTCCATTGCATGGAACTATAAATTACAAAATTCCGTTCAGATAATTATCGGCAAGGATGGTGTATTAATGCCTTGTGAATTAAGCATTAAGGTGAAGCAGGTAAGAAAATCATATAAACTTACCCAGATTTCATTGAATTTATACTAATTTAACAAGTTATAGGAATTAAATGGGAGAAAGGAGGTAAATAATATCGGAATTTTATTATTGAACCTTTCTGAATACGTCGGATTGAATTCTGTGACTCAAAGGTATTTACTACAAGATAGTAAAATTAACTCCACCCTTAAAGTAAAATATCAACATTTTCATAATAAATTTTATACCTTTAACTCAATGTATAATTATATTTAATTTCATTTGTATTCTTATATGTATAGTTGACGATTCATATGAAACAAACATCTGGAAAGGTTGGCTTTAAAGTGTAAGTTGAGTGTATGTCAAGTCATTCGTTACATGTAACACGTGAATTAATTTAATCTTTTATATAGTCCGCCTATCAAGAAACCTCAAATTTTTGGAGGTATTGCTGGAATAATAACAGAACATACCGAACGCCAGGATGACAATAGATCACGTAAGTATATTTTTTTTTAATTTTTTATCGCGTAAATTTTTTATCTAATTTTTTTTTTAAAAAATAAAATTGATTTATTTTAAAAGTGCGTGGACTAAAGCCAAATTTCGGACAAAATTATATGGCGCGATCTCGCTCAAACACATCTCTCGTAAGTGTTTATTATATTATCCCATTTTAATTAATATTTAACGCTATCTATATGAAATGTTGAATTTGTTTGATAATTTTTAGAGGTCAGCATATTACTCGCAAGCGATCCAAACAACACCTACCACTTCATCATTGGTCGCGAATTCTTTCCTTCGTAAAGTTGGAGATGAATCATCTACAGATGTCGTAGAAGATATTTTCATGGGAACAGCCGTGGTACGCGTCGACGTTATAGATGACAATAAATCGGAACATAGTGCTTTCTTTTGATTAGGAAACCTTGTTCTTTTTCATTATAGATCAAATGAAAAAATAAATAAAAAAAAGAATCAATCAACTTTAACATTTTCATCTACATAAATTCATTCTAACTTGTATTATAGGTTCTTTGTTATAATCAATGTACACTTGTATTAAAAATCATAACCATTAGATTATTCATAATTTCAAAGTATATTGTAATTATAATAAAGTAAGTTATAATTCGACTAAGAGAGTATTTCTTTAATTACATAATCCACGACTTTAACGCCCTCACATTTCTGATCATGCCAAATAAGGAAATATCCATGTTCTGCAAGGATCACAAGCGCCGGAATAAACCCGGTTCTTGGAAAATTTATTATAATATATAGATGTTATCACTTACCATATATAATTCGCATTACTAATAAAGAAATTTATAGCTTATATCATCTTTGTTTTACTTTTTATAAATTATTTGTTCGCAGCACATCAAAGACAATAATACTCCTAAATACGTCATGAATCGCCATTTTTTTGAGTGTAACATATGTAACGTGATGAACTTTCACGTTAACTTTAAAAAAATGTTGTGAAACCTAAATTTTAAACATGATTATTACTAAGCAAAAAAAAGGTAATTAATTATGCTAAAGTGCAGCGGCAAAACATTATAACATTAATAATAGCATGGTTTCTCAGTGGATTAAGGCAAGCGAGAAATGGGTTGGAAAGAACCAAACTATTAAAAAAGTTTGGTTCTAAGCGAAAAGTATTTTACCCTAAAGCAGAAAAAAAGCTTTACAATTGAATTATAGAGCAAAGAAAAATTGGATTAGGTATTTCTTATGCAATTGTACGAGTAAAGATGAGAAATGTTAAGGCTTTATAATAATTTAGCAGATTTTAAATTATCTTCTCACTAGATATTTGCTTTTATAAAAAGATTTAAATTATCTCAACGACATTATACCAAAATTGCACAAAAACTTCACAAACCAATGAATTATTAAAAAAATTCCAACGATTTATTATCTAACTTAGAACTAAAAAATCTTTTGAAATGTCTAATATTCTCAATATGGATGAAATTCTCGTCAGGTTCGAAATTTTACTATTGATCAAATAGGTGAAAAAATAGTACAAATTCGTAATACTAGAAATAAGAAAAATCGATTCACAGTAGTTTTAATATATGGGAGCTTTGCTATTAAAAATGGATTCCGGGGACTTTTAACAAAAAATGAGATTTTTGATTCATATTAT